GCTATGGAACTTTCCCCTTCCCCAAATCCAGCCCCCCAAATGAAGCTTCAAGAGAGAGATTTAAAAAAGAAAACTTCTAAAATATATAATATATATGTATGTATATATACTGCACTAACACATGCTTCAAAGACCCGGGCCCTAGGAAAACAGGACTAGAAAGCTATTCGGGTCTTCCAAAGAGGAATTGAAAGAGCTATGCTTGGAATATGACATTTCACTCAAGTGAGAGAAGGAATCCAGAGTTCCAATCTCCATCAATGAATGAGAATCATGGATGCTGTCTCATTTGCCAAGGTGTCGAAAATCAGATGGGCTGGACATGTAAAGTGATTTGGAGACAACCGCTGGACTAGAGTCGTTATCAACTGGATTCTACGGGACATCAATAGATCGTGTGACTGCCCACCTACGAGATGGTCAGACTTCTTCGTCAAGACCTTGAATGAACAGTTTGAGGCTCTTCGTGTTCCTGGAGCAGCAGATGCCATTGGGCTACACTAGCATGTGACAGGGACTAATGGAAACATTACTGGTGACAGCTTGAGCAAATCGAAGATTAATGGAATGACAAGTGATACAAGTGATGTATATATACATATACATATGTACATATACATACTATATACATATATATATAGAGAGAGATTTTATACTAGGAAGCTTAAAATTTATCTCTTTTCCTTTTTTCTGAAATGAACACAAACAAAACAATGAATCTTTAATTCTATGCCTAGGATCTCAAATTTGGCTCTGAATATGTGTTTCAAATCTCATTAATTACAGTATTGGCCCCATGAGATATAGTTGCTGATGCAAAGAACACTCTTTGTACTGAAAATAATTTGAACAAGGGCAAAGAAGCATTTTATTTACATGTGTAAACATTAAGAGGAAAATAAAACAGAGATGGTTCAGGTAGCTGCTGAGATGTTTTAATGATAATTGACTTGGTTACTTAAGCTTTAAGGTTACGGGTATGGGAATAGTTACATTTTTACCTTATGTATTTGTTGGATGATAACATTCTTGAAAAGGTAACTCTGACATTAACTTGGCAAGTTCTGAACTAAGACCTTTTAACATTTAATTTTTTCCCCAAATATGAAGACTAAATTGTTCTGAATTTCATACCCCACTGTGCAGATCTATAATTTATTTATTTTGCAAATATAAGAAAATATGGTATTATCCAAAGGACTCTTCCAGGTGACGAATCTGGGTAAAATCCACTCGGATGAATACCAGCAGTAAGGAGCAAACAGACTGTCTTGATTTCTTTCTTCATTTTTCTCTCTCTCTTTAGGAAATAGCAAATTAAACCATGGCTATTTGTGGTCTTATAGTTTGAGAACACATGTGGTCATACATTTTCATCCCATTAACAAATGCATTGGCTCAGTGATAGAAAGTAAAGTCTACTATGAAGATGCCTTAGTGCCTTACAAGGAGACTTTCATCCTCTGTGATCACACACAAAAAGTCCTGTTTTGAGATTTGGGTACCCATAGCTGACTTCAAAGGGATTCTGAAGCTTTGGGGAGATAGTATGGGGGTAATGCACTTGCCTTGCACATAGCTGACTCTGGTTTAATACTCAGTATCACTTATGGTTCTCAGAGCACCACCAGGACTGATTCTTGAGTATAGAGTCAGCAGTGAGCACAGAGCACAGCAGGGTGTGTACCTCCCAAAATAAAGGGATACTGGGACCAGAGGGAGAGTCAGCATGTAGGACGCTTGCCTTGTACGCAGCTAACCAGGGTTCGATACCTAGCATCCCATGTGGTCCCCCAAGCATCACTAGGAGTGACTACTGAGGTTAGAGTCAGGAGTAAGCCCTGAGCACCACAGACTGTGGCCCCCAAACAAACGAACAAAAGGGATACTAAAGAGGAAAGCAATCCTGGTTACATATAAGGATCACTTAGAACATCCAAAAGCACAGATACTGGATTCTATTCTCCAGTGTTTCTGATTTAGTTTGTGGGGAGGGGTCCCAATATTGTATTTTAAAACCAACAAAGAAAATTAACAAAACACAAATCCTCCTTTTGGAAAGTCTAATAAACCCATGTGATCCACAGTTGAGAATCGAGCCCCAGAACCAGTGTTAACTTCGATAGTTTGACAAATCTTGTAATTTAAGAGAATAGGGGAGCAATACTCATTCAGTCAAAGCTGTACATTGAATTTCAATTTTAATCTTTTTTTTTTCTGAGCTAGTAAGAGACTCAGTACTGGAAGTGGAAACTGCAGCAACCCCCAGTTGGCCATGCAATCCCCTGGGTAAACAACAGATACTCTACAGACTATTTTTCACTTTCAGTATAGTATTCAATAAATTGCATGAGATATACATTGCCTTATTATAAAAATAGGTTTTGTGTTAGAGGACTTTACTCAACTGTAGGTCAATGCAGTATTTTAACCACATCTAGGTTAGGCTATGCTAAGCTTTGATGTTCACTATGTTAGATATACCAAAATCATTTTTACTTAAGATGTGTCTACTTGGGTCAGAGAAATCATACAAAGGTTAGAGCACTTGCAAAACATGGTCGAGCAGGCACTTGCCAGAATGAATTTCAAGAACAGAGCCTATAATAGTCCCATTGGCACCATAGGGTGTGTCTCTAAGCCCCCGGGCTGCCCACCCATTGCAAATTAAAAACATTAAATTTTTTTTTCAATTATGATGGGTTTATCTGAACACATAGAGAAAAACCTTAAATTTGTTCTTTGACAATCGAACAAAGTCCACTCTTGATTTTTAATGAAACTTTTTCTCAATCTAGGTGAAGGCAGAGGAGAAGGATTGAAGGCTGCCTCAGTTTGCCCCTTGAACATGTTCTTGGAGCAGAACCTTGTAAGGAGTGTTCTGTGAATGATAGACTCTAAAGGGACTAATAATTTTCTGGGGGAAAGCAATGAAAATACATAGATGAGTGAACAACAGATACATAATATTAGCCTTGATGATAGAACCTGTAAACAGTGGCAGCCTTCAACACATTTAAGCAGTTTGAGCAGTTCATGAGGCTCACTGGCTCAACCTCACTCTCTCTGGTTCTTTACAGTTCAAGAATACCTTGAATACCCAGTCACCGAATCTTTGTAAGGCATCAGAAGCAGAAAGGAGAAAGGCAATTACTTGTCAATTAATCAACTTAAAATGATGTGATTTAAAAAAGTTCTCTAGTCTCTCTTCAGTTGATTGGATAATGAAAGTACTTTTTCTTATTTCTTTTTATCATCGTGTCAGTCCTACATTGTTCGTGTTATATTTGTTTGCTACCACATTCTATGGCAGTTCTATTTAATCCTGCTTCTTTCATCCTTCCCTGGACTTAATTTTTTTATTTTCTTTTTCATTTTCCTCAACACCGCTACAGCAGGCCCTTCCTCTTTATTTTCTCAGCTTTTGATTTATGTATGGTTGCCAACCCTTTTTCTGATTCTCTCATTTTTGCTAACTGCCCTTCTTTAACCTTCTGTTGATGTTTTATTCCTATCACTTGCTGTCAATGCCACACAGCCCATTTCTTTCCATGCCATCTAGCGCTGTATCTCCATATGCATTTTTATGATCCTACTTCTGAAAGCTTAAAGCTCTGTATGAGGAATAGAAAGCCACTTTCCCCTATTTGAATCCGATTTCTTCTCCCTCCCAGAGCTCTTCCATGCCAATTCACCCTTTCCTAATATGACCCCAGTGTCCGATTCCTCCCACCTGCACCCTTCACTCCCTGTTTGATGCCCATCTATTTCTTCTTTGTAATCACTTTGATCTCCATAAGATCAAGAATGGAGTTGTGAGGCCGGTGGGGTGGTGGGTGGGCCCAGGGAGGTGGTGCGTGTTTCAGAAACTTTCGTGTCTTTGCCGCGAAATGGTCTTGGCCACCTGGACCCAGAAAAATTCTCGGGCTGTCTTCGAGCCCTGGCACTGGAGCTGCACACCTAAGAGCGCGGCCGGGGCCTGTTGTGAGCGCGACAAGGGCAGAGATGCCTTTCAAGGCCTCCCCGGCCCTTCCACTCCCGGGGGCAGGAGGAGTCGCTTTCAGCGACCCGGGCTGGAAACCAGGCCAGGTGCGGACGCCTGGGGCCCTTCCCTGCAGCCGATCGATCGGGCAGTGGGGCACGCCGTGCAGTGCAACGGGGCTCGCCTGGTGCAAGGGCTAGACTGGGGGGTGGGGGTGCCACTGCGGCCCGGCCAGTCCCCTGACCTTCTCTGCGAGGCCAGCTCACCTCCCTGAGAGGCGGCAGGCCCGAGCCAGGGTGTTCTCGTGGGGTGCAGGGCGCGGCCCCGGGGGCCGGGCGACGCCACCCAAGCGGCGCCAAGGGCCCGAGGCGCAGTCCCTCCCCAGGAGGTTAGGCGAGTCGCTCCCGGTCGCGCAGCCAGAAGGTCGAGGGAACGGCGCGTGTGTCCCTCGCCAGCCGGCCCTCTGGGAGCAGGGCGGGGGCGACCCGGCAGGGAGGAGGGCTGCGGGCGGCAGGGAGCAATCCTGGGCCCGGGCGCAGGGGCACGGATGCGAGCGGGCGGGAGGGGCAGGGGCTGCCGGCCCCCACCCCCCAGGGCGGCTGGGGCCGTGGGTCTGTCTGTGTACTCGGCGGGCGCCCCGAAGTCTGGGGCCGCCCGGGCTCCGGCTCCGCCGGCTCCGGCCGGAGACTCCAGGCCGCACTTTCCCCTCCTCCCGGCGCCTTCTCTCCAGTGAGGAGCCGAGCGCGGGCGGCGCGGGGGGCGGGCCGGCGGCAGCGAGAACAGCCAGTTGTTTAAAATCCTTCTAGAGCAGTTTCTAATTCCCCCCTTGCGCCGGGGTTCGGGGGGCGGGGGGGAGGGAGGAGAGCGGGAGGAGGGAGGAGAGCGGCGAGGGAAGGAGGGAGGGAGCCGCGGAGGGAGGGCGGGAGGGAGGAGACTGCCGCTTAGGCTGGAGCCGCCGCCGCGCGCTCCGGCGGGCCGGAGGGAGGGGCGGCCTGTCAGTCTCGCGCGTTGCCCGGGCGAAGGGGGCGGAGCCTTGGCGTGGGGCGGCCAATGGTGGGGGTGGCTGCGTGGGTCGCCATGGGGACGGGGCTGTTCCCGGGGAGGCTGTGATGGGTTGACAGGTGCGTGACAGTGGGAGCTGCTCTCGGCACAAGCATGTACGGCAAAGGCAAGAGTAACAGCAGCGCCGTCCCGTCCGACAGCCAGGCCCGGGAGAAGTAAGTGTCTCCGCTTCTCCCCCACCTCCGCCTTCCCCCGCGCGCACACACACGCACGCACTCGCACACTCTCTCGGAGGCACACCGACACCCAGACCCAGTGCGCCCGGGGAGAGCCCGGGGTGGGCTGGCAGGGGGAGGCGTGCGCGAGCTGGGGGCGTGTGGTGCGGGGAGCGGCTGTTTTCTTTCCTGGAGGTGCTGCTGCGAGCTCGGGCGCCCGTGGGGGGCTGCGGGTGGGAGGGAGCGAGTGTGTCGGGGAGGTGGGGGGGGGGTGCGGCGGCGGTGCTGGTGGCGGGGATGGAAACTTGTTTGGGTGATTGAGGGAAATAGACCGCGGGTTCACAAAGTAACTTTCGAGCTGCGGACCGGGGCTGCGGAGAGCCGGGGAGCCCCCGGGGGTCGCCGGGAGGGCGGGAGAGGGCAGCGGCGCGGAGGAGGGCCCGCGGTGGCAAGGGGAGGTGTTCGGTCGGGGAGGATTGGGGTCGTGCTGGCCGCGCCCGGGGCGCCGCGGCGGAGGCTGGGGCGCCGCGGCTCGGGGCCGAGGGAGCCGGGCGAGGCGCGGGCGGCGGGGCCCGGGCGCGCGGCGGGCGGAAGCCGGGCGCGGAGCGGCCGAGCCGGGCCCCGCGGGGCGCGGAGACGCGCGCCGGGCGCGGAGGGTGTGTGCGGGCGTGGGCCGGGTGGGCGTCGGGCTTTCTGGCCCGGGCGGAGGGGGCCCTGAGCTGGGCTCGGGGCGGTGGGCGCCTGGGGCGCTGCTGAAGTTTGGGAGTCTGAGCTCCGAGTTCCCGGGGTGGAAAAGTGTGCTGGCGAGGAGCGGGCTCTGCTGGAGCAGGCTGGCGTCTCCGCCTCGAGCTGCAGCCCCAACTCCGAGGCAGTAGCGGCTGGAGAACTTTTTTGGGGGGGAGGAGGGGCGGGTGAAGACTTGGTGTCTCCCAGGCTTCGGGGGGCCGCGGTAGTCCCCGCGGCGGGAGGGACGAGCCCCGTCGGGCGGTGGTCTGGGGGGCACGCCGAGAGGGTCCTTGGAGCGGCTTCAGCGGCCGGCGCTCCGAGGGTTGTCCGCGGTGGGGAGGAGGCGGTGGTCGGCCAAAGGATTAGCTGGCCAGGGATCTGCGTGGAGGTGGGCAGCTGGGAGTTGTTTGGTCGGTGTTGGGGAGGGGGATACAGGTGGTAACTTTGGTGGGAGCCCAGAGGAGGCTGGCCTGGCGAGCGAAGCCACCTCTTAGCTCGGGATGCCACCGTCGAGGCACCCTGCAAAGCAGGGCTGTTTCCTGCTCTTTTGCATCCTGGCAACGGCAGAGATTTTGTTGGTTCCTAAAAATGGGAGGGGATAGTGACTGTGACCCCCGCGAGGAAGAAGCCCTTAGTTTCATGCAGCAGATGTATGGTTCTCAGTGGCCACCGCCACTCCGAGGGCGAGGCGAGTCCTTGTCATTGAACACGCTCTGCCTGGCAGAGGGGGTTTAGACCCGGAGAAAGTCTGAGAGCATCTCCCGCGAAGCCACTGGGGTTACCTTGTGCATAGAAATCCTGCATAAATAAAAACACGGGCGCTGACGACCCATCTTTCCTCGCTTTAGGAGGTTCTTAGTCTTCTCCTCAAAGTTTCTTATGCCCCAGGGATGGGATCGTTTCCTAATCTTCATGTTGGCAGCAACACACAGTAGTCCCATGGGATTTGGGGGGGTGGCAAGCCTTGATGGAGCAAAACAAAACAAAAAATTAACGGAGAGAGGCTGTTTCTCCCCCCGCCCCCCTTGTTTTCTTTCTTTCTCCAGAGGTATTTCCTAAGGAGCTACATTCAGGATATTCTAGCTTTGACATGGAGTCCATAAAAGACAGAGCATTATAGTCTGGTTTAGGCATTGCAGTTACTGGAATTGAAGTTTTGAAATAACAGTCTTAATGGTGTGCATTACTCATTTGGTTGTAATATATCCGATAAAATAAAAACATTTGAAGGAGGATGTTTTAATGATTATGGAGTTTCGCATTTGAGATCGGGAGTGACTGGATTAAAATGTATTGCAGCATAAGTCTTTATTTGGGGAGTGGTTATATTTGAGAATCAAAGTAATTTTGGATTTTAGTTGGATACCACGAATGCCTGAAGCTAATCTGTCTTGTGATAACTTTATAAGAATTCTTCTTTTTTAATTTCAGTAGTGAGGAAGTTGAACCTGATGTAACTGTGGTCTCTTCTTGTTTTAAATGTGAGATCCTTTCCTCTTAACTAAGTCCACTCTCCATGCCATGTCTATCACACTGAACACCAAGTAACATCTACTCTTGAAAGCAAAGTGGTGAGGGTTCTGCTAGATGGTGCTATTTGATTTATATATACTTCTTCCATTCATTACAATTGGCAACAGGAATCCTGGACTGACTTGCTTGCATTGGGAACTAAATATAGGTGAAGAGGCCACTTTTGGAGAATTGACAGTGACCGTACTGGGTTTGTTGTTGCATTATTTCTATGTGAGTGGTGTTTGAACCTGACAAACATTGAAACAGGCTCTATATTATAGAATAAACTTAGAATGGCAGAGTTAATTGTTCACTTTTACCCTTATGCTTCCTTGAGATTTTGATGGCACTATTTAACAAACATACTAACTTCTGAAGACAGAAATTATGAAGTTGTCTTAAAAATGAATGTCTCCAGATTTAAAGAAAAATTAAAGGTGGCATATTTTGAAATGTATTTGAGTGAAGAGTTTTCTTAGTAATTAGAACAGCTTTGATATTTTAAAAAATCACAAGTAATTTGGTTTTAAGTTAATATGCAAATATTTTAGACAATTGTGAAAAATGCATCCTTAATATGAACAATAGTATAGTTTTATAATTAATCAAAAATTATTCCCTCGTGTGTTCTTACTTGATTGATATCTGGCTGTTTTACTTTACTTTTTCTTTTCATTAAGAAGTTGTTACCATATGGAATACTTGAAATTAATTTGCAAGTTTTATAGTTTCCGTACTTTCAGTATATATTTCCAAACATAAAACTGACCAGGTTAATTATTTATTTTGCTGTTACAAAACCCAAACAGATCATATCAATACAAAAGTTTGGAAGAATTTTAATTATGGAGGAATTGATTAATAGTCCTTGAAGGGAGGTGGGATGTTTTTGTAGAAATTGAAATTCTGTTCCTGTTAGATCATTCCTTCCTTTAGCAAGCTTTTCTTTGTAATCCTGATCACAATTGTAATTAATTATAGTCAGTTCTTGCCTAGCTTCCTCTAAAATGTAAGTTTCTTGAGGATAAAGGAAGATACTTTTAATTTCTTCTTTGTGGCATCCTTGACACTATGGATAGTGCCTCCAAGTGCCAAAGCACCAACTGAATACTTGTTGAAGAAATGGAGATGTTAGAGTCAAAGATGTTTTTTTCAGTGTGGATAAACTTTTTCAGTGACCGCCAAAATAAGTACTTTAAAAGTTTGAGTCACACATTCTCTCAGTTGTATTTCAAAAATATCCAATAACAATAAAACTAATTAGTATTTGGATTCTGCATGCCATTCACTGTATGCAGCTCTCTTTCTCTAATTCTCCCTACTAGTCTCTAAAATGGTGATTTTGTTATAACTCGTTAGACAAATAAAACGAATACTTTTTAGTTAAGTAATTCAAGTAGGGGTTACCCCGCTAACTGGGTTCTAACATGGATTTCTCTTTAACTGTAGAGCCTGGATTGAAGTGGAAAGAAGCTTTTTATTTATTTATTTTTAAGTATAATGGAATGTCTTCTTGATCTAGGGTGGGTTGCTGTAGATTCAGGTAACATCATTATATAATCAGATAAACTAAAGTTTAATCAGACATGCCTTTTAAACCATGCTTACAGTCCTGATGCTTTTACCTGTCATACTGCAATGTGGAGTGGGGAAGGCAGAATTTTTAGGGCCAGAAGTATAATTCTAGTTTCTTCAGATTTTTTTCTTCCTGAAGTTTTGATTATTTAAGTTTTAAAAGTAAGTATTGTAGTTGTGAACAAATACTGTAATAAATTTGGCAGAACATTAAGGTATACTGTATGACACACTTCCAAAGAAAGGATTGACTGCTGCAAATATCTGATTAGTTATTTTCTATTCAATTATTTAGTCCTTTAAAATTATGTAATAACAGAGATGAATCTATACTAAGGCACAAAAGAACATGAGATATATACGTACTAGACAGTGACAAAATAAGTAAACTAGGCAGGAACCATAGAAAATAAACTACATTTAACCTGGAATTATAAGAAATAACTTTGAGTTTTAACTGATCACTCTTTTAGTTGAATATACCATGAAACAAATATCCTATGTTAATTTGTAGTTTATGATTTAATGAATATTTACATATTCTATATAGAAAAGCTCATAGGGATTAGTATCCTCCAGCAACATCTTAGTCTCATACCTCTTTTTTTATCAGTTGAAAAATGATCACCCTCTTTTTTTTGCTTTTTTTTTTTATGGTACCTGCCACCCTACCTGTCCCCAGCTCCGATTCTTAGCTGCGTGCAAGTGTGACTCTATCTCTCCAGTCCCTCTTTTCTTGTGTTTTTGAAAGAGAAAGTTAAGACAAGTGAAGTAATAGAATTTAGAAAGCTGATGGATGAAGAGTTAATATAGTTCAGGTTTTTTTGAAACAGTTATCTTTATGGAAGTGAAATTTTTGTTTTGTTTTCTGTCTTTTGGCCACATCTGACGATGGTCCCTGATTACTTCTAGCTCTGCTCTTAGGAATCCTCCCTGGCAATGCTCAGAGATGCTGCTGGGGATTGCACCTGGGTTGGACACATGCAAGGCAAGCGCCCTACCCACTGTACTATCTCTCTGGCCCCGTAAATAAAATTTTCTCTAACATTAAGTTATATTTGACTCTCTTCTTGCCAATCCCACAAAATACAAAACAGCTTGTATCTAGTATGACATTGTAGCTGTGAAGTTTTTCTTTTCACTGATGCTGTTTTCAGTATAAGTATGAACAGAATGACTTTTTT